TTGTCCGAGTATAGTCAATCCAGGGGCATATTAGTTCCAATATTTTAATATTCTTTGTTATAACATATTAGTTACAATAGAATCTAATTAATCAGAGCCTGGAGGAAAGGGTTTGGAAACTGCTCTTTTATCTTTTCGTGATTGAAAGAGTGCTGCAGACTGCAGATTTCGAAAGCTGCTGTTTTGGAGCGAAGCAGAGGAAGGTAACCCTGCTTTTACATCCCTAGTACAAAGGCTAGAAAGAGTAAATCAGGCACCCCTTGTTATTTGTGCCTCACTCATCCTTTTCAAAAGCAGAGGTCCATAAATAGTGAATGGTTGAATAAATAGGGAGTTATGCCCATTTTATTCTCCAAGTTTTAAAGCTCGGTATTAGCAAACATAGATGTAAATTACGGCAGTATTTAGGAATTGCAAATATTGTCATCAGTAGTCAGGAGAATAGCACTGGTGATTGCAATATGAATTCCTTTCAATAGAATTATGAGAAACATAGCATAAAAAAAAGTGATTAAATATGCAGTGAAGGATTCTTGACTATATTGTTGCTACAGAAAGAGCATGTGGCATGCATTTCTCAGGTATATTACTTCAGATGAGTATTTCATTTATGAATAGGAAACAGGACCAAATAATCACAAATTTCAACAGTCCTATTGAGAAAATTTCTCTGTATTGAATAAATAACAATATATAATAACTTACCTCCCACTTGTTGGTAATGATCTCATAAGTGAAATTTAAAGTCAATTCTTTCAGTGAACGAACATTTTAAAATAGTTTGTAGTTTGGTTTACAGTTGTTACTTTACTCCTTACATAGTGGTCTATGTATGTCGGAAAGATGGAGACTTTTGATAATTTCTGCTGGACCAGGTGCTATTTTGAAAAGCTAGGGGAGTTTTAATGCACATAAGTCCTTCTTCAAAGGTGAAAGTGGAACAGCAAATTTGCAAGCTAAATACAGACAGCTATGGCTGAGTTTGATGTGTATCGAGAGAAAGGGGGAGGGAGAAGGTGTTTTTTCAAATTGTTCTGGTTAATAGTCAAAGATACAAATTCTCAGGAGGACTATTAGTCTAGATAAAGCTAAAATGATGGGTGTTGAATGGTGCTCTATATGGATTGTTTAATGTTCAGAAATTCATCTTCCAGTTTTGCTACTGATGGAAAAATATCAAGCTAATTTTCCTTTCTGAGGCTGAAATGAATACATTTCTAATTTGGACAGATTAAAAAAAGCAAAATACATGGTGAAAGCCCTTTAGAAACAGTGTTGCTCATGAATTCAGGTTGCTTAATCTATCAATTTTGTGCTCTTTAAGGAATGACAGGGTTTGAAAATAAGTGACTGTGTTCTTTCCAATTACTTGTAAAATCATGCACTCTTGTTTAGTCATAGGATACTTCTGCTGAAACGCCACAGAGAATATTGTAAGAATAGGGATCAAAGGCAAAATAAAGAAGTGATAGTCATTTGCTTTCTAGTGACATGACAATATTCGGTGACCCTTCCGTGTGTCACATTTGCATTGTTTGGAATGTACAGTACTGTGAGGTCAGACTCATCCTTCATAACTGTTTAAATAATGTTTTTTGAGAACATTTAGAAGACTTTCTTTGGCACTGGTCCCTTGAACATTTAATTTGAGCAAGGACGAAGTTGCAGTATTTCTTTTTCCTGCACTGTGTTCACTCTTACTAATTCTGCTCGTGGGCCCTGCGTGGAATTCATGTTGATGTGAGTGGGTTTTCTGTGCTGAGAATCGGCAACGTGGATTTCTGAGACTGGATTAAAGGAATAAGTGTCTGGCCCAGAGGCTAACAGCCTAACTTCAACCTAAATCCTCCTGTTCTTATGCTTTAGAAATAACCAGTTGATTGTAATGGTAGCCTAACTTTTACATTGCTGTTACTGTATTTTGTGTCTACCAGGTAAAGAAATATAGACCTTAGGTGAAATGTGCAGTGTAATACTGTGGCTTCTGATGAACCTGCTTGTCTGTGCCCCTTGAGGTTTTTATGCTCTCTGTTACTGAGGAGAGATTGAGTAAATTTTCAAAAATACTTAGTATAGTGTTTGAAGCCTTGATTCTGAGATATTAATTTAAGGCTGATACTTGGTCCCATATAGAGTTCTGTGTGAAGGTAGATGGTCTTACTAGTAAAATCTTACATGGCTGATCTTGTATAGCTGTTCTGCCTATTTAGTGTTCAAAAGCCAGATTGAAACCCTCCTGTTTAAAAAGTGGCCCTCCCTTCAGATGCCAGCAATATTTTCTAAGTGATTGCAGTAGCTAAGCTGCAAGTACAATGTAATTAAGTAGAAATGTCATCTCATAGCATAGAATCTATCGCACAGGTAAGGCTGTATCTGAGAGGGGAGGAGATGCAGCCTGAAATGCTGAGCTGTTTAATTAAGTAGGAGAGGCTTACAACCCTCCCAGTTTCAAAAACAGAACAGTATGGTATTGTTGAGACTTTAATACCCAATGCTGCTTAAAGCCAGGGGTGACTAACCTTCTTTAAATCTTCTCCAGAAGCAATCAGATAGAGAATGCACTTTTTCACGAAAGCAGTTTCTTCCACAAAGCAAGCAAGCTTTATAAATCTGGTAAGCCTTATAAAACCTGTTATTACTTGTGTCCTTTATACTGTAGGTGTTTTAGCTTTTTAAGTGATACTATCACTTTAATTAAAAACTTATCAAAGTCTGCCTCTTAAACTGAACCAATGCAGAAATTTAAAACAGGAACATCCTGCAGTGAAAGCTAGTGTTGAAAATTGTATCAAATTTTAGGTATGTTGATTATTAAAAAAAAAAAAAAAAAGAAAAAAGAAATGTAATTCCCCTATGCATTTAATGAACTGGATATCAGAGTTCATTGCAAAGCTCAAAATTTCTTTGACCTCTGTGAGAGTGAAAGCAAGTAATCCCTTTGAAGCAAGTGAGTTTTAGCTTCTATACTTACACTCCATGTCTGGTAACCCCAGCTTTTTCCACAAAACGTGATAATAATTATGGGCTCACATGATGCAAAAGTCAGAGTTCTACAGAAGCATTTATCAGTGGTTCAGAGGACACTGGGTCAAGTTCTGTTTGAAGCCTGTGGTCCTGTAACACCTAATCTTGTGAAGGAGTGCCCTCCATCTGTGAGGATTAGTCCTGTATGTTTAGAGAAAGCACAAGAGACAACGTATGTTTGCTCCAAAGCAGATAGTGGAAAACTAAGAGCTTCTTGTATCAAAATAATTTCTCTATTCCTTTAATAAGCTAATTAGGTTTGAGTTTTAAAAACAACAGTTCATACTGTGGTTCTCATCTCTTTGAAGAGCTTCTATGCATTGAACAGAGGCTCTGGTGTAGGCTTGGCCTTCATGCTGGAAGAGCTTTGCTGAGGTCGGGACCTTCCTAGAACAGGGCAGCATTTGTATTAAGGGGGAAGCAGCGCGTTTGCTGTTTCCTGGAATTGCTCATTTAGAAAAAGATTGTCCGTGTGTTTTGTGTTGTCAAGTCCTGGTGGAGGTGAGGGTGAAGAGCACCTGCATTGCGAGTTCCAGCGTTCCAAACAGCATGGCTCTGTCAATGAACGGATTTGAAGCACGGTTCACAAAGCTTGATTCAGCCACCAGATACACTGTGTGGCCCTGGCTGTTGCTGTAATCTTTCTGGGCCTTAGATTCCAAGGAAAGCTGGGGACAAGCTGTCACTCACAGTTACTTTTTAATTTCCAATTCTTGACCTGAAACAAGGTGCTCAGCCTGGTGTGGCCTGAAGTTAAATTTACTAAGGTTAAATTTACTGTAGAGACAACGGTCTATGTGGTTGTTTATAGCCAATCAGAAATCACAAATAATTTTTACAAAGGGAATAGTCCATCTTATTGTAGTAGTGGCTCAGGCTTCTTGTAGTGCCAAGGTGCCAACAGTGGATTTGTTGTGTTGTGCTGCACTGTGCAACTGCAGAGACTGCACTGAATGCGCGGTCTGGAGAGGAAGGGAAGGGAAGAAGGGTTATATGTGAGGTGAGAATAGTATAAAAATAGAGCATTAATTTAAAATAAATTAACTTACTATTATCCTACATTTTCTAAAAATAAATCCTCTCACTAGGAAAATACAAGTGAGGTTATAAAAGAAAGTTACAGAAGAACTCAAACCCCATTCCAAATTCACTTCTGTATATTTTAAGACTGCTTTGTATCTCTTGATGTGATTGTTCTGAACAGCGTTTTAGAGGCTTTTTGGTTTTCATGGTTTCAATGGCAGTTAAAACACTGTATAGATAATGTGTACATTTTAGTAGAAATGTAGTTGTATAGATTCAAATCCTATACTGGCAAGGATGACTTAGGAAATTTATAGTCAAAGATGTAACAGGCTTTCCTGGTTGAATTTAAAACTGGGGTACTTAGAAGTCTATACTTAGAATGTATAGTACCACTGGTCTATTTTAAGATACAAATTACTGTGAAAGATGATACTTTTTTTTCTTGACATTTAAAAAAAATCATTGATTTCTCAAACTTTTATTATCACCATTTGTAATAGTAGGTGGAAACAATGTAATGGCATCATGTAGTATTAATGCAGTAATGGATCTTGTATGCTATATTCATGATTGCTTTCAAGAGTCTTATTTAATGGACTAAAGTATATAATATCTCAGAGTAGCTTAAATGTTTACTGATGCAATTCTGAGGCATGATGTTAAACTTGACTGTACTTTTATTATACTAAGGGCAAGTTATGGCATATTTAAAATGCTTTTTTGCCTTTGAAGAAGACGAACTCACTGATGTGCTTTCAAAAATATCTTCTATTGTTGGACCAATCCTGTATAATTTCTTGTTCAGTAAATGTTTATTAATGACAACATTTGATCATGATTTGATTGATTTGGACTGTGTATGTTAAATCCTCTTGAGTCTGCCCTTTTTACTGCTCGTGTGTCCTGGTTCAGAAAATAAACTCTTTCATAACTGCATTGTTTTGGTTTCAGATGAATATGTGGACAAACTGAGGGAATGGAGCTGAATCTTTTGGCGATTTTAAGCATTTAGGTAAGTGCATGCAGAGGCTTCAGTAGCAACATGAGGAGAGAACATTCAGCATTAGTGTTCGTGTAGAACTGGTAAGCGGGGCACAACGTTCTGTTTTAGTGGTTTGCAATGCTGGCTACTCCCGAATGATTCGCAGCTTGACTGTTGCTCCTGATTGTGTCTTGAAATCTGAGGTAGATCTGATTTCTTTTGACTATTCCCAGGAAGTCCTAAGAGTTCAAAGGATAAGTCTTTACACAAGAGGTTACTTTTTTTTAAACCACCTGCATTTTCAATTTCACCTATTTCCCTTGCTAGCCGAACTTCAGGCTTTCACTAGATACATTATTTTGATGTTATTGATGAAGACTCCGGTGTTTTCAGATTTGTAACACAATGTTGTCTCCAGCTGGTATCCTCATATTGAACATCCATTGTTGTCTGCTGTTCTGAAGATGTCCTTTCTTTTGCTATATGTTGTTTTAAAATGAGCACGTAGTGTTTGCTGAGTGAATGGATGGCAAAGGGAGAAGAAAGGATTTCCCTAATGGTTCAACAAGAGCACTTAGTAAATAATTTATCATCATCAAGTGCCAGCGTTATCTGAAGCTTGACAGGTCTTTCTTTTATGATTCAGTAGTGCCTGTGATGACCTGCTGTACACACTGGCCATCTCTCAATGCTGTAAATTCATTCTGGTGTCATCCAGCCACTCTTCCTTTATAAAGTGTAAGAAGTAGCAGAATAATTTGTCTGCTAATATTCATGAAGTGTATGTTAGTAAATGTGTTTGTGTTCAGAAAAATTAATAAGCCCTAAAATACTTGTTATCCATATATTTTTTTTGTATTTGAATTTGTAACAAGACAACTTGTTTTATGCTAACAGTAGGAAAGTGATTTACTTATTGGTTGACATTATCAAGCAGTCAGGCAAACACTGTAGCAGGTGGAATTACCTTCTTGTGTAGATGTCTGTCAGAAGTTAACAGAGAAAGTGATGTCCTTTCTCCTGCTGAGAGCTAATATGCAGGAAGGTAATGGGGTCTAAAAATGCTACAAGCTAATGGTGTGAGATCAATATCGCTGCTACTACAGGTGAAATGTCCCTACATATATTATTAAGACTGTCTTCAAAATTAAATTCCTTGAAGGACTTTAGAATGTTAGAGAATTCAGTATGTGTCTTTACAGTAAAACACTAGTAGGTAGGATTTGGTGGAATTATATGAGTATTCTTCTACTGAGTTAATGTAAAAACTTTTTTTAACTAGTTCTTATTGGAGATAGACAAGTTCGCGAGGATTACATGTTTGCATATATGTGTTTTTGTCTGATGGTAGCAGAATGAGCAAAATAATCCTGTTTTGATGTATTACCAGTATAGTCATGACCCTGATATTAGGGGTGTATGTTTCTAGTTAGGCCTCAGACATTTTGAAAGACCCACTACTTTAATATTAATGTATTTATGTGATTCTTGGGTTACCTGTGTTAAATACGAAGTGTACAATAGTATTAATTACATGTGCCGTGAATCCCTTTATTCCATATCTCAAGAGTGTTGTTATGTGCTGTGAAACTTGTCAAGTTTTAATCTAATTCAGAGTATCTCGTTCTAGTTCATAATTCATAATTCAGTCATTTGTTTAGAAATGGGATGCGGAGGGGTTGAGCACAATTTCAATTTCAATAGTTTTCCAAGGCAAATACGGAGAGATTCCTAAGCTGTGATAGTTAATGTACAAATAGAATCTGCTAACTTGTTAGATTTTTTTTAAGAAATAAGATGCAAAAAAGAAGTTTGAGGTTGCTTAAAATATAATGGGACGTAAACAATATATGTAAACCCTATCCCTATCAGGATGTATATGTGAAGGTGAGCTCTAACTGAATTGTAATGCAAATTTATAAATATTAATTGCTATAAGAAGGTACTTTTGAATATAATACTCAGAACAGTAAAACAGTTGTTTTGAAATTTATTATTCAGTATTCAGGCTGAATCTTTTCACTTTTAGATTATATTGAACAACTGTGGAAATAGTTGTATTGTCACTGCAGCTGTATTATGTATGTTGTCTTCATTGTAACTTCAGAGGTTCTCTGAAGATGCATATATTTTTCTGTGGCATGTGATAGGTATTCAGCTTTAGCATGCTCAGACTAACACATGGCAAATGAAATGCTGTGGCATAAGTACACAGTCTATTTTCTTGTTCTGGACAGATGGGTGAAATCATCATTCCCTAGAGATTCAGCTTGGTGACTAGATCACTTGTCACAGTAAATATATTCAGTGTTCTATAACATTGGCACAGTCTAACATGAACAAATATCAATGCAGAAAAGTAATCCTACTTAAGATTTTTCAAACACTTCCTTGATTGCCGTGGTATGTTCAAACACATGCACAAATGTGAATTCTACATGGAATAGCAGGGACAAAAATACTTCTCATGAAATAATAATGTGTAAATATTGCCATAAGATGGGGAGCACATGGAGCTCATCCTGCTCAAACCCCAGTTTCTCTGCCAGATTTTTTTCTTTTCTGTGCTGCTCTGTTCATTGCGAGTTGCAAAACAAAAACTGTTGAGTTTCTCTCAAGAAAATGAGTAATCATTTTTGCAACATTTGTATATATGCATGCACCCACATAGATATATATGTGTATGTATATATATGAAGTATAAAATATGTGTAAAATCTTCTCTTTATATATCTCTGTGTATATTAAAAATACTTTCTACTTACCAGATTGCAGCAACCTAAAGTTTAAAAGTAGGAGCAGGGGTTGTAATGTAAAATGCAGACACTTTAATTTCATGGTAATATTTATGTGCACAAATTAAGTGTTTTGTAAGTTCTGTTTTAAAGCATGAAACACGATGATTTTCAGGTAACTTAATTCCTGGAATGTTTAGTCAAGAGAAGAGATATTTTGTGTATTTGCACTAATTACAGAATTGTTACTATTTTTTTGGGAAAAGATTATTGTATTTAATCCAATACCAATGTTTCTTTCTTATCTTTAAATGTATGTTTATAAATGCATGAATTGTAACAGATGTTGACAGATACTGATGTAGACAAAATTTATGTCATACCTATGAGATACTGTAGTTCAATGTGAAAATTTCTCAAAACATGAAGGAATGCAGACATGGAAGGTCAAAACTCTTGCGGTATTTCAAGCATTACTACTATTCACTTGAGGATCACAGAAAATAACTACTGTTTGTGAAAGTGAGTTTAAGATTTTTGTGTTATTTTTCCTAATAATTACCACAAGGAGAATTTATACATTTATGACTTACCTTGTGTGGAGTCTTAATATTGTTGCATTACATTAAGACTTATTTTGGATGGATGCAACAGTCAAGTTCTTTGCTTAAAGGAATAAATATTTTTGGAAATCCTAGAGAATATTCTTTATCTTGCTTTTAGAAGGTGGTATTCTAACTTAGAAAATATAGGCCATATCTCATATGAGATATCTCAATATCTCATACCATCTTTTTTATTATTTATTAAGACAATCATTGTTGTTACACATTCTGTAAATCTTCCGGGACCCTTTGGTGACCGATGCCTGATGTAGATGCATAGGAATCCTAGCTCAGTCAAGACTAGATGCTAATAATACCCTGCAGCTCCTTCTGTCTCTCTACTGCTTTCACTACAGCTGGGGACAACTGAATTTCTCAGCAAGCAATGATTAGCATTTTGATCTTGACAGGCACTTTACTGTCTTGAATACCAATGTCAGAATGATAGTTTTTGCCACGCAAAGCGTAAACAGCTATTGCATATATACTTGTAGTTAGCTTATGCTTTCTAGGAACACTTAATCAAATATTGTGCATTGGATTTTTTTATTTTATATTTTATTAGAAGTAATTTCCTCTGATTTATAGTTCTACAAAAGCCTAGTTTTATGTTTTTAAGTCTGCTCAGTTGACTAATTTGAGTATGAAATGCTGGAAGTCTGGAAGAGCATTTTGTGTCAGGAGTCATGATCTAATATGTTAGTGGTTCACACCAGTGCTCCCAGCTACATGCAAATTGACAGTATTCAAGTGTAACCAGACAGCATTTGTAGTCTACAGATTAGCATAGCCCGAGAAAAATCCAATTATCCTTTCTGTGGTTGTTTGCCTTCATTATGTTTTCGTTTCGGGGTAACTTTTGTTAAATGTTTAGAATTATTTATAGAAATAATATCAGTATTATTATAGTGGATGGTAATGGTTTGAGTCACCAGACAGACGCATTTTGTCCATCTTTTCAATAAAGGAGATGTCAAACGGATGAAGCCCAACTACCAAGGACTAGAAGAACAGAAGTTAAGCGTGCTATGTATGTATATTTTGCTGAAAAATAAGTTTAAACTAAGGCTGTCTTGTGTACCTGGCACAATTAGAGCTGTCAAAGAAAAACATCCTTTCCTCCACTCGGGACCAGAACAACTGCAGAAAACTCTTGAGGAGCTGCAGGTTCATCTGCTCAGGCCCTAATGATCTCACTGTAGGTTCAGGGATGCTGCTGAAATGAATAGCTTGTATTATGTGACTGCAACCTCTTGTGAAAACATACATATATGTTGAGAATTACGTGGTTGAGAATAGTTCACAAGATGCAAGCAAGCAGTATTTTCATTTGCTTCCAAGCTGTGCCAGGGTTACATGGTTTTTCCTCACGGAATTGGAATAGGTGTGACAGGCAGTTGATACTCAGCACACTGGAGCTTGGATTGCAGTTCATCAACCTGCACACATCCATGATCTTTTTTCACAGAGATTCTAGGAATAATACAAAGTGAACATTTGCAAGGAGCTTTGAGACATTTTGATCAAACATCGTAGTTAAATTCAGATGCAACAATTAAAGAAGGCCAAACAATATTAACGGCTTGAATCTGTGGAAAATTCTTTATGAGCATACCTAAGTAGCATAGAAATAGTTTAATAATTTATAGAAATTATCATAAAAGTTCAGTAAATTGTGCATCAAGTTAAGATCCTACTTGCTATTACATTTTCAGATCTTATGAGTCAGCAGCTTTATAACTGTAACCATCTGAATTTCAAATGGTAAATGTATTTTTAATGCAGCTTCAGAATGCATAAGAAATTATAAAAGGTCACCCTTGTGAAAAATTTAGAAAGAGCTATGCATTTGTAATTTGATATATGTAACATAATCAATTATGCATATCAGGTGTATATTGTGCAATTTTATTATGTAAAACATTGCACGAGCTTTATTTTTTTTCACATCTTTTTGTAAACAAAGTCACTGAGCCACAGTTGCGTTTCAACGGCAAAGGCTGGGTGGTTTCTGTTTGTTTTAGTAATTTCAAATGTAAAGATGCAATTTCTCGTGGGTTAGATCATTGTTAAGAGTTTTCTTCTCTCATGGGTTAATTTATTTTGTTTATTATTATTATGTTTATTATTATTATGTTAATTAGTAATCAGCGTAAATTTTAGGTATAAGAAAAATACATTTTTTTAAACTTCTATGTAAGCATGGTTATGACCTTCTTCATGTGTTGTGGACAAAAACCGTTTGTTTTTTTTGAATGCTTGGGAGCATTTAAAAACTGATTTTTGATCAATGTTTAGAACCAAGGATAAACTTTTTGAGAACAGAAGTAATCAAGGGCATCTTGATGAATAGGTGAAAGTGATTAGAATTTAATCCAACTTTAGAGCGTTTTAAGCCTTAGGTCACTTCTAGTTTTATTAGTGTTTATTTATATCTACATATTTATTTAATATTTATTAACTTTTTTCACAATGTTTTTCACAATTTAGCTCCGTGAATTAACGATTATAAAAAACTCAGCACAGGATGGTGATACTGCTCTTAGTAAGTACAAATAACATTAGGTAGCATATTTACGTTGTTCTGTCTGTTTTATGTCACAGTTACTATGGGAAATGAGCTGTACTGTAGTATCAGAAATGGCAAGCAGTGCTAGTCACCTAGTTTTGTGGGTTTTTTTTTCTTGTCCCTAAGCTGGGGGGGGGAAAGAATTTTAAAAATGGATCCCCCCCCTCAGTGCTCTCTAATGGAAAATTGATCCTAGTCACTAACGATGAGCAGTAAAGCTTGCTGGTACTGCTTGAAATGTTTTGTATGCAGAAACGCCAATCAGTTGCATTTAGACTGGCAGATTGTTCATTGATCTCATTTTCTTATATGCTTGGTGTTTAAAATCATAGACCATGTTTATTTGGATCATTTATCAAAGCAACTGTACAAGGAGTAGAGTAGTTACATATTACATATGGATGTGCTTTAGTTTTTCAAATATTGTTTCTTCAACTATTTTACATGATGAGCAGGAAGCATGTGAAAGAAAAAAAATGGCATGGTAGAATTTAGACCAGACAAGTTACTCTAAGGAAAAGGAAGTAATCATTATTCTGTTTAACAGGTTTCCTATTTAAAAGAGCATTTCTAAGCAATATGGCATGATTTTTAAGGAAAAGATTTTTTTGGGAATTCCCTTAGACATCTCTAAAATCTTTGAAAGTTTCTGTAAAATGCTGGAAAAAAAATCTATAAGAATTTTATTCAGTTTTGCTTCTGAACTAAAATATTGAAAAACTCTTTCTGGAGAATCATTGCTCCCTGGCTCTACTTCTGGTTATGCAAATCTGTGGTAGCAGGAAGAGAGAAGCAGCAAGTCAGGAAGCATAAGCCTCCACGTAAGGAGCACTTAATGAGACATAAGCTAATTCTATGAATGTATAAATTCATGGCTGAATTTATTAGATCTGACAGGAAAAGAACCTCAAAATATGAAACAATGATGGCTTAACAAATATTCATTAAAAAAATGCAATTTCTGTGTATATGTACATCTCTGCAGGTTATCTAGGATTTTATATATGTTTTTCCGGCAAAAGTAGGAAATATAATTTCATTACAAGAACATAGCCTCCCTCCTCCGCTCCCCCTCCCCACACACACACTCCCCAAAGTTACCTGGGTGTTCGTTTCAAAAATATGTATTTAAAAAAAGATAATTGGTTGCAGGATAAAATGTCATATAAAGCACAGGTAAGCATCTGTTAGTAAAAGCTGTTTTAAATAGAATGTCTTCACTGAGCAGTCAAACACAGGGCATTAATCTCATGTCCAGCTTGTTAAATCCTGCAAATATGTTCTAACAGGCACCCAAAAAGTTCATCAGACTATATGAAGTACTGTTGTTGCTAAAATAATAGATTAATCACATAGGAACTCAGTTATCTCCTATATGTCATAAGTTTCTGCTTTATGTCATAAATTCATGAATAGTCGATACACTGAGCATGCTTCATTGAAATAACTAATTATAAATGATGTGATTTATTGAACGAACTTTGCTGGAAATTTAATAGAAACATCTACTCCAAAGCAATTCAAACACAAAGTATGTATTTGCATTTTAAAAATCTCATCCAATATAATAAATTTTCTGCTTTAATTGCACATTAACCTTTGAGAAATTATACTTCTGGGAAAACTTCCTACTGGAATATGCAGTTTCCAAATGCAATGATGGTATATTTGCAGGTAGGGTGTTAGGGGAAAAAGAATAATCTACATTTATGATCACCCTCGATGCAGACACTTTTTGGTCTTTAGGCCGCTGTATAAGGTTCTTGTAAAGGTCCTGATAAAGGTTTCTGTAGCATAAATTATGTGACCAGACCTATCGTCCATTTACGAGCTGAGAAGAGAAGGCCTTAATCTTTGTCTGGTGCCTTGGCAAGTCTTACATTTTCATTGCCAGGACGAAGTTCCCTTATTTTAAACTTTGTCTAAGATTTTTAGATGTGATTTTTTTTAAAGCATTATATTATAAGTAAAAAGCATGTGAACAATACAAAACACTGAGCCTTATAGAGTTCAGGGTGTAACAAGGAAAACCTGAAAGTCTTATGAGCACCTAAAATTCTGCTGTTGTCAGTCATGAGGTTAATACTGTGTGGTAACTGTTTTTTTTTTTTTTTTTTAATAGGCTAAAAAATAAGAAGAAATATCAATCTGTGAGAATATATATATTCAGAGACCAATAGGTCTTGTTCTGACTTTGGGCTGGAGAGAGCACGGATCTTTTGGGCCTGCACAGAAAGTATTATCAGTTTAATTTTGATGCTTCCTTTATTCTGTGCCTGCCCTTAGAGGTCTAAAAGGCCTTTGACTTCTATAATCCTGTTCTATTCAGGATTTGAATTGCTGGAAAATCTCTCTTTTAAATCTGGACTCTGTGGTTGAGGGAGGACTTGTTAAAAAAATATTTTTATTATTTTGTTCTGCCTGGATATGAATTTAGTGGTGAATTGCAGATTTTGTTTCTGGGATATGATTGGAATTTTCAGTCTTACTAGAAAAGTCTGAATAGAATTTTGACTTTGAACCTGTGCTTGTAGGGGTGGTTGAAAGAGGCACTGAATTTGGATCTAGTCTGAAGTTCTCATGTTTGGTAGATTTTCTCTAACTATGTGTTTTAAGTGTGTGTGTGTGTGTGTGTGTGTGTGTGCAAACTAAGTCTTTTGAGTATAATTTTCAAGTGCTAATCTCAGTCATTTTCTAGCAAGCTAAAGACGGATTAAAATACCAGAAACAGATGTAATACAACACACTACTTGGCTTCCTGTGGCTCCTGCAGGTTGTTTAGGAGACGTCATATGTAAAAAGAGGTGAGTTCTGTTTCTCATTTGGAATGCTGGTGTGTCTAGTGAGCATTTGGTCTGGCTTAAGCCATAAGGAAAGTGTAATGTTCCTCCCGTTTCATGTATCAGAATTTTCCCACTCATACTCAAATAAATATGCATTTTTTTTTTACTTTAGGTTGATTTTTGGGGTGTACTCTGCCCTGAAAAACAGGCCCATGAATTTTGATACTCTTCTGTAGCTCTGTATATTAATACAATGATTTCTTTTTTTTTCCTACTATCTTGTATATAATAATGACACTGGTCTTTTGGCTAAGATGAAGTGTCGTATCTCTGATTAATAACTCACTTTTTTCCCATGATGCACAGCTAAAAATGCAGAGATTAATTTCTCAAAAAACTTCTTGAATAGAATCTGTAAGGACTCATCTTAAAAGGTTCCTCTTTAGTCTCAGTTCAGTGGCATGTAAACTCAAGGCAACCAGGGAAACCAGGGGCCTGCTGTCCTCATAGACTTCAGAGTACTTTCTAGAAGTAAGGTGCCCGCAATCAGTAATCCTTGACATACCCTGTATGAAAATAATCCTATCACGCATAAGAAGCAAGAGGGCAGAATCATTTAATGTGAACATAGTCGTTCACTGCTGAAAATTGATCATTTTGTATGAACTTAGCGGAGGCACTAAGAAATCAGTAGATTTCCAAAAAGTGTTATGCGTGGTAAACGATATTGTGTGACACACAGCCACACTGTGCATCTTTCTGAGCTATTTTGCATGTGCTTGAAGATGGAGGCACATACAATAAAGAATGCCTTTTATCAGGAATCGGTTGTATCTGTGCAGTAAGATGCATAGAATGGTATATACACTGCATGCTTCTTGATCAGTGTTTCATCTTACATTTTTTCCATGTGATCCAAGATTTAATTCTAGTACTTAGGGAAAGCAGAACCTCTTTTGATTCTCTCCAGCATTTAGCTGGAAAAAACACTAGGAGAATGTGGTTATACTTGTTATTTTGTTATGGAAGGCAAAATAACAACTCCAGCCATTTCCTATCCAAAACAGATATTCCTGACTTACATCTCTTGAATGTTTTCTAGTTACTGTGTTCTTAATGGTGACAGTTGTTGATAAAGGATTAATTCTAATAAAATGTAGTAGTTCATCCATGTAGTAAGATTAAATATGTGCTGTATTGGAATCATAAATTTGAAGACATTGCTCCCCAATACTTTAGCTCTAAATTTAGATCCAGAGAAATCATTAATGTCAAAAGGTGATAGTGCTGTTTTTCATCTTGTGAGGTTTCTGAAAATAGAGGACTAAATTTTCCCTAACTGTGTTTCAAGGTATTCCATTCATGTATTATTCTTGAAGGGCTGTTGGGTTTTCTGCATGACATGACTTCAAAAATATCTTTCATTGCTACTGTATGAAAAGTAGTGCATCCTATACAAGCTGATGTCTAGGATTTGACATTTGGAACAACTTCTCTATCACTGCGCTACTTGAGAATGTGCCGTGCAGTCTATGACATGTACTCTGAAGTCTATGAAGATACTTGGAAAATATTTCAAAACAAATTAAAAATTAATAACAGAATCAGGTTTCTTTTGTGGCTTATATTCTTTCACCTGCAGATAACTAAAAACCATCAAAGAAAGCAAGCATTAGTTTCTAATTTAAAGTGACTTACAGTAGGAGAATAATCACTAGAACTCTAATGATCTCTTTTTGACAACTCCTTAATCCTTACAAGTTGTTGGTAAGAGCTGCATCAAGCTAGCTGATTATCAGCCCTGGCTCTCACCTGAGTAATTCAAAGAAATGCACAACCTGTGATCATTTAGATGAAATTACAACTTTTAAGAGCACATCTAGAGATAGCTTTTTTTTTCCTCCCTTCAGCATGAAGTGGAATCACATCTGTTGGTTTACTTCTGTGATTCATATTCGATTGCATCAGTTGCCCAACAGACAGAAAATAAGCAGACATAAATAGCAATGAGCTTTACACATATTGCACTTGAAAAATCAGACCCTGTACAACCAAATGCTTCAATATTCAGTGGTAAACAATAGCATAATATGAGTTTTTAAATCTTTCTCTTTTAATTTTAAATATTTTCTCTTGTAATCTATAAAAGCCTGAAAAGGGTGCATGAAAAAAAATTATGCAAAATTACT